AAAAAAAAAAAAAAAAAAAAAAAAAAAAAAAAAAAAAAAAAAAAAAAAAACAATGTTGGCAGCTATTTAAAGTCCAGGAATAAGAAACTGGTATGTAAATTATGGTACAGCAACTCAATAAAATATTTGGAAGGCCTGAGTAAGATGGTGACTCGATGTGCCATGTAGCTACATGAAAACTACTTTATGAAGAAAGTGTGAACTGGGAGAAAAAAACTACTATTCAAAACCTGAGCGATGTATACTAAGGATCACAACTTTAAGAGGCATAAAAATACATAAAAATTATAACAGTGGAGGTGTAATTGACTGAAATGCTAATTTTTTCATTTTAACAATATTCTAAAACTTACTTTGAAGTTTTTAAAAACTGCATGTTTATAAAACAATGGAGCCAATTGATCTCTCAGACAGGGAGAGAATTTTAAAAGTTAGCAGGAAGGACAAGAGGAGATGTTAGGTCTACCTATAAGTAGTGAATATGGGGGCACCAGAAATGTTGAAAATGTAGGCTAAATTTGTTGTATAGCAATAATTTCATATAAACTTGCTTCCATATGTGCAGACGAGGCCGACATAGAAAGCCTGTGATTCCTGTCCTTTGAGTGATTGTTTCTGAGGTTGACCTATGGCTGGTGTCTTGTGGCTCAGAATTCAGAGGGTTCTACTGCTGTCTAACTGATAGAGATGCTCTAGGTGCCTTTCCAAAAGAGCTTAAGACATATTACAATGATACGTGCATACCAGTGCTTATAGCAGAACAGCTCATAATACCTAAATCCTGGAAGCAGCCTGTATAATCATCTACAGATGAGTGGATAAAGCAAATGTGGTACCTATCCATAGTAAAATACCACTGAGTATAAAGAAGGATGATAATTCAAGATACTTGTAGGAAAATGGGTGCATCTGGAAAATACAATGTTGAGTGAAATAAATTAGATACACAAGCTTAAATACTGCATGGATCTCTCATCTGAGTAAAGTTAGCACAAACAAAGAGCAAAATAAAGGTAGGGTAGAAGGAAATGAAGAGCTAGATCGATCGCTTGCAAATGAAAAGAGGTCCAGGAAACCCAGGGCGAGGGGTGGGGCAGAGTGGAAAGAGAACTAGCACATGCCGTGTACAGGAACCTAATAACTTCAATGAATGTGAACATTATGTGCTATAAACATGAGCTAAGAATGACAATAACAAGAAGGCAAATAGGAAAAGGGAATTTAGAGATGGAGGGAGGGAGGTCAGGGGAGAGGATTTTAAAAAGAGTGTGTACACGTACCCACTCTTCAAAATGGATGTAAACTTCGTGCTCTGCAAACATGCACCAATAAAGTTTCAATTAAACAAAGATGCTCGGGCTGGGGATTTAGCTCAGGGCTGGGGATTTAGCTCAGCGGCAAAAGCGCCTGCCTGGCAAGCGCAAGGTCGTGAGTTCGGTTCCCGGTACCGGAGGAAACCCTCCCCCCCCAAAAAAAAGCTGGTGCCAGATAAGCTCATGGGAAGAGGTAAGGCTGAGACTTCAATATCCAGCACCTGAAGCTGGACATTTCTAGATGT